TATGGGCTTATCTCACACCTATCTGGTTATTGAGTACTTTGGCTAGATGTGACCCATTGTGTATTTCTGATACCAGTCAATTCTGACCCTACTCACAGACCTGCTACGGGGTGGGAGAGATCTGTTAGGGCAAGCCAGGCCCTGAGAGCTGTGATGGACTGTCACTGATGGGTGAAGGAGTTATCCACTTCCCCAAACTAAGGACAAGCTGAACCAAGCCACATGGAGAAGGAGCCTGAGAGACACCTCAAGGCCTATCTCAAGAGGAGTACTACTGTCTTCACAAGAGCAGTTTGTCCTGCTTTCAAGGTGCCCAGTCTTGCCAGTCTAGGGTACCCTGGAAGCCTGTTTTCAGGAGACCTGACTGAGGTTTACAACCCCAGAATTCACAGCAGAAGCCCATCTGGCTATCTTGTTTAGCTCAGTCTTGTTAGTCCTTAGCCCTTTCCATAGATAGGAAGAGGTAGAGCTGCTAGTCCTTTATCAGTCTTTTTTTTTTTTTTTCCTCTGGTCCTGGGGCTTGAACTCTGGGCCTGGGTGCTGTCCCTCAGCTCTTCAGCTCAAGGCTAGCGCTCTACTGCTTGAGCCAGGGTGCCATTTGCAGTTTTCTGAATGCTCTCTTAGAGATAATAGAGATAAGAGTCTCACAGACTATCCTGCCCAGTTCGCTTTGAATCGTGATCCTCAGATCTCAGCCTCCTGATTAGCTAGGATTACAAGTATCAGCCACTGGTGCCGCCTATCAGTCTTTTTTTAATCTTTTTTTTTTTTTTGGTCATAGGGCTTGAACTCAGGGTCTGGGTGCTATCCCTGAGATTTTTCTCTCAAGGCTAGTGCTCTACCACTTTGAGCTACAGCTCTACTTCTGTTTTTCTGATGGTTAATTGGAGATAAGAGTCTCACGGATGCCGGGCGCTGGTGGCTCACGCCTGTAATCCTAGCTACTCAGGAGGCTGAGATCTGAGGATCGTGGTTCAAAGCCAGCCCGGGCAGGAGAGACCATGAGACTCCTATCTCCAATAAACCACCAGAAAACCGGAAGTGGCGCTGTAGCTCAAGTGGTAGAGCGCTCGCTTTGAGCTTGAAGAGCTGAGGGACAGCGCCCAGGCCCAGAGTTCAAGCCCCACGACCGACAAAAAAAAAAAAAAAGAGTCTCACGGACTTTCTTGCTCGCGCAGGCTTCGAACCACAACCTTCAGATCACAGCCTCCTGAATAGCTAAGATTATAGGTGTAAGCCACCAGCGCCCATCTTTGCTACACCAAATGTAATATGTCCTTGCCAGGTGCTCATATCTATAATCTTGCTATTCAGGAGGAGGCTAAGATCTGAGGTTCTAAGTTTGAGGCTAGCTCAGACAGACAAATCCACCTGAGATTCATCTCCAGTTAACTAACTAACTAAATAAATAAAGCCAGAACTGGAGGCCCTGGCTCAAGTTATACAGCACCCTCCGTGAGCAAAACAAAAAGCCAAGTGGAAGCAGGAGGCCCTGAATTCAAGCTTCAGTACTGGCACGTCACAGTAACTATACGGTGTTCAACATCCTTGATTCTTGCAAGTCTGAGCTTACTCTAGATGTGGAGATCAGATGGCCCTAATTTTTCTTTAGGTTGGGGGTCATCCCCCCAGGCACATGCTTCATTTCAAAGTGGAAAGATAGCAGCATGCCTGAGTAAGTAGTGGGCCTTTTTTGCATCTAGCCAAAGGGGCTGCCCTCCATCTTTTCTGAGAAGTTTTCCTGGAGGCTGTGTGCAGACACAGCCCAGCAGAGCAGAGAAACAGATGTGTGTTTTCCCCTCTGTCACTGGCCGGGAAGAGATGGTTTTTGTTCAAGGGAGCTGCATATACCTCCATCTCTGCAGTTATTAGGGAAGCCAGCAGGCTCAATGGGAAACAGACAATGGCCCGGTGCCAAGCTGGCAAGAGTCTGGCTTCTCAGGGGAGGGTGGCTGTACCTGTGAGAAGTCTCCACAGGGTCTTACTAGGTGCCATCCCTGGCCTGGGAAACTTTTTTTTTTTTGTCGGTCATGGGTCTTGAACTCTGGGCCTGGGCGCTGTCCCTCAGCTCTTCAGCTCAAGGCTAGCGCTCTACCACTTGAACCACAGCTCCACCTCCAGTTTTCAGAGTGGTTTATTGGAGATAAGAGTCTCACAGACTTTCCTGCCTGGGCTGGCTTTGAACTGTGATCCTCAGATCTCAGCCTCCTGAGCAGCTAGGCGGACAGGGCATGAGCCACCAGCAACCATGGGAAACATTTTTTTTTCTGGGGACCACTATGTTTTCTGTTTTGGCTGTCTTCCTTTTGGCTCCTTATTAAGCTGGAGTGGACTAATGGGTGAGAGTGACATATTCCCCAAGTGCCCTTTTATTGCCTGCAGACCCCCTTCCTGTTCATGGTTTCCACACATTGCGTGATTGAAACTCCAGCAGACTATCCCTTTTCCTACCCTTTTGTGAGGGCCTTGGGGCTTGAACTCAAGGCCTAGGTGCTGTCCCTGAGCTTCTTTTTGCTCAAGGCTACTGCTCTACCATTGAACCACAGCCTCACTTCTGTCTTTTTCTGCGTAGTTATTAGAGATAAGAATCTCAGCTAGGTGCCGGTGGCTCATGCCTGTAATCCTAGCTACTCAGGAAGCTGGGATCCGAGAATCACAGTTCAAAGCCATCCTGGGCAGGAAAGTCCATGAGACTCTTACCTCCAATGAACCACCAGAAAACCAGAAGTGGCGCTGTGGCTCAAAGTGGTAAAGCACTAGCCTTGAGCAAAAGAGCCCAGGGACAGGGGCCAAGCCCTGAGTACAAGCCCCATGGCTGACAAAAAAAAAATAATAATAATAATTTAAAGAAATAAGCCGGGTACCAGTGGCACACACCTGTAATCCTAGCTACAAAGGAGTCTGAGATCTGAGGATCATGATTCAAAGCCAGCCCAGGCAGGGAAGTCAGGAGACTCTTATCTCCAGTAAACCACTCAGAAAACTGGAAGTGGTGCTGTGGTTCAAGAGGTAGAGCACTAGCCTTGAACTGAAGAGCATATCCCTTAATGATTTGTTGTTGATCGTGGGGCTTGAACTCTGGGCTTGGGCGCTGTCCCTCAGCTCTTCAGCTCTAGGAGAGTGCTCTACTGCTTGAGCCACAGTGCCCCTTCCAGTTTTCTAGTGGTTTATTGGAGATAAGAGTCTCACGGACTTTCCTGTCCAGACTGGCTTTGAACTGCGATCCTCAGATCTCAGCCTCCTGAGTAGCTAGGATTACAGGCGTGAGCCACCGGCTCTCGGCTCCCTGATTGATTTTATTGTAACGTTTACCCTGCTTTTCAAGCACTGTTTTTATGTCAGTCAAGGGGTTTGAACTCAGGGCCATGGCACTGTCCCTAAACTTCACTCAAGGCCAGTGCTCTACCACTTTCAGTCACAGTTCCATTCCCAGTTTTCGGGTAGTTAATTGGAGATAAGAATCTCACAACTTTTCTTGGGGCTGGGAAGGTGGCTCAGTGGTAGAGCGCTTGCCTTGCATGCCTGAGGCTCTGGGTTTGATTCCTCAGCACCCCATAAGCAAAAAGAAAAAAGCCGGAAGTGGTGCTGTGGCTCAAGTGGTAGAGCGCTAGCCTTGAGCTGAAGGACAGTGCCCAGGCCCAGAGTTCAGGCCCCAAACCACACCCCCCCCCCAAAAAAAAAAAAAAATCTCACAACTTTTCTGCCCAGGCTGCTTTGAGCCATGATCCTCAGATCTCAGTTTCTTAAGTAGCTAGGATTGCAAGTGTGAGCCACACATACCTGGCACCATTTTCTTTTTCTTTTTTTTTTTTTTTTTTGGTGGTGGTGGGGGAATATATTTTTATAAAGCTGAGTGTCAAGAAACAACAGATTACACAGTGACTTAAATATGACCGACAAAGCTTCTCCAAAAAAACTGAGCTACGTGATTTACTCACAGATATTTAATTGTTTTTATTTTGAATTTTGTGTGTGTGTGTGTGTGTGCCAGTCCTGGTGCTTGAACTCATGACCTGAGCACTGTACTGGAGCTCTTTTGTTCAAGGCTAACACTCTATCGCTTGAGCTACAGCTTCACTTTGGCTTTTCTTGGTTGTTAGTTGGGGATAAGAGTGTCATGGGCTTTCCTACTCAGGCTGGCTTCGAACTTTGATCCTCTGATCTCAGCCTTCTGAGTAGCTAGGATTACAGGTGTGAGCCCCTGGTGACCAGCTGGAAATTTCATGTATTATTTACCCTGGATTGTTGGTGTCTAGTATCAAAGATTACAGCTCAGAATGTCACAAGAAGCACTGAAGAGTCATTTTCCCAGATGGTAGTCGCAGCCCAACCAGAGGTACACGTGTAGATAGATGGTACATGCTGGGCTCTCTGTCTTTTAAGTCTCTTACTGGATTCTCTGACCTTTAGACTCCCTCTTCCTAGCCCCACTAAGAAAGGGCACCTTGCAGCCACAGCCCTGGGCTCTGTCCAGAGTCTTAGGAGTGAGCATAGGAGGCCTTGCTCATAAGAATGCAGTCTCTGAGCAGAATGCTGCTTGCTCCCCACTTCCTTCCCATCCTCAAAATGAAAGCAGGACAATGGGGCCCAAGCTGTGAAAAGTACCATGGGGAGGGAAAGACCACACTTGCTCCTAACTTTGCCACTCAGCTGAACCATGGCTTCATATACCCAAAGCAGGCAGTAATATTCGCATTTCGTTTTTCTAAGAAGATCTAAAATCAAAACGTTTTATGTGCTGGGAAGGTGGCTTAGTGGTAGAGTGCTTGCCTAGCATGCATGAAGGCCTGGGTTCAATCCCTCAGTACCTCATGCACAGGAAAAGCAGGAAGGGGTGCTGTGGCTCAGGTGCTGAGAGTTCTAGCCTTGAGCAAAAGAAGCTCAGGGACAGTGCCCAGGCCCTGAGTTCAAGGCCCAGCACTGGCCAAAAAATAAAAAAGTTCAAAAGTTCAAAAAAACAACAAATGAATGATATATCCATCCCTTTGCTCCTCTTACAGTGGAACCTGGTATGTGAGGACGACTGGAAAGTTCCGCTCACCATCTCCTTATTTTTTGTGGGGGTGTTACTAGGCTCCTTCATTTCGGGGCAGCTCTCAGACAGGTAAGGTGTCTTTTCGTCTGCAGCTATAAGGGCATCTCGGCACTGAGCAAGAAACACACACGCCTGACTTTGACTTCAATTTGGTGATGTTCTCTCAGCCCAGGGCCTTGCATTTTTGAAGAGGAGGAAGCTGTGCCTAGTATAGACTCCATATCAAGTAAAGTGAGCCAACATCCTCTCACCTTTCTCCCTAATTCTTGCTGAGTAGAGAAACCTGAGCTATCCAAGCCAAGTGTATCCATGATCCAGTGACCAGGTAATACGCCATGATTCACTTGTGCGCGGGGCCCATCTGCCTTCCTTTGGTGAACGTGGCACTCTCCCGCCCCCAAGTGTGGGAAAGACAGACATCATGAACACAGATGGATGTGGTCTATTGCAGATCCTTAGGCAGTACCAAAGTAGATCTCACTAGCCACTAGTGAGATGAGCGGCTGTCTGAAAAGCTGAAGCCCCTTAGATAAGTGGCTTCTTGTGTCACTTTATATCCAGGAGATCAAAATGCTCTTCTTGACCTGTGTGTCATAGGCATGGTATTTGTCTAATTTTGAACCTTTTTTTGTGTTTTTTTTTTTGCCAGTCCTGGGGCTTGAACTCAGGGCATGGGCACTGAGCTTCTTTTGCTCAAGGCTAGCACTCTACCACTTGAGCCACAGCACCACTTCTGACTTTTTCAGTGTATATGGTACTGAGGAATTGAATCCAGGCCTTTATGCATGCTAGGCAAGCACTCTACCACTAAGCCACCTTCCCAGCTAATTTTGAACTTTTTTTTTTTTTGGCCTGAACTCTGGGCTTGGGCGCTGCCCTTGCATTCTACTGCTTGAGCCACAGCACCACTTCCTGTTTTCTAGTGGTTTATTGGAGATAAAAGTCTCACGGACTTTCCTGCCTGGGCTGGCTTTGAATTGCAATCCTCAGATCTCAGCCTCCTGAGTAGCTAGGATTACAGGTGTGAGCCCCCGGCCCATTCATGGCTTGGGGAAATCCAAAAACTTATGAAATAATATGTAAAATATGAGAGATTGTATGTAAGCATGTTCTTGCGTCCATTCTGTCCCGTCTTCTACCTTGGAGCTTCAGAGTCTGTGAGGATGGGGGCCTTCAGCAAGTGGTCCGTAGTGGCTCAGAGCAAAGCTAGTAGGGAGGCATCCTCCTGGCTGATTGGAGAATCATATATTAAAGCTCAGAATGAGAATGTTATTCCTACCTTAAGAATAAGGTTTCGTGTTGCAGCACAAACTCAAGGTGATGTCCTGGCATAGTTACATCAATGGATTATTGTCACATCTTTCCTCGTGAAGATTTAAATATGTCCATATCTCATTAGATTGACTCTTCCCAGAGTGTCATCTAGTGATTAAAAATAGCAAAATCCACCCAGGCACTGGTGGCTAGCCTATAATCCTAGCCACTCAAGAGACAGATCTAAGGATCATGGTTTTTGAAATGAAGCTGTGGCTTAAGTGGTAAAGTGCTAGCCTTGAGCAAAAGAAGCCCAGGGACAGTGCCAGGCCCTGAGTTCAAGCCCCAGTTTTGGCATGCATGTGCACACACACCCACACCAGAAAATTCCTACCCTCACCAGAGCATTAAAGGTTCAATAGACAATGCCTAGACTTTGCTAAGACAATACAAGTTCTAGCTGAGGCAGCTGCCCATGACAGAGAAAGGCTTTCATTTTATAACAATGCCATATGTTATTATATTAATTTGACAAATATGTATGGCGCCACACGCTAGTATAAGAACCAAAGAATCATATCCTCAGCGATAGGAAGTAGGAACTATTACTAGTCCCTGTTTAGAAGTGGCAAAATGGACTATAGAGGTCACACAGTGGCCACTGACAGAGTTAGGGCTCGAACCCAGTCTAGTTCTTTTGTGTGTGAGTGAACTACTGCTTGAGGCTTGAGTTCTCCTGGGTCTTGCCTTCAGCAAGCTAGAATGGATTTGTCCAGTGATGAAAGAAGTGATCCTGAGGTCGGTGTGCTGGTGGGAGTGTCTGACTGGGTCAGGCTTCCCTAGAAGTGCAGCATGAGCTTCTTGCTGAAAGATGCGTAGACATTAGCTGAAGGGATGGGGAGAAGCAAGAGCCTCGTGGGCTAGAAGAACAGCGTGTACTAAAAGCCTAGACAAGACGGGCGCTGGTGGCTCACGCCTGTAATCCTAGCTACTCAGGAGGCTGAGATCTGAGGATCGCGGTTCAAAGCCAGCCCGGGCAGGAGAGACCGTGAGACTCATATCTCCAATAAACCACCAGAAAACCGGAAGTGGCGCTGTAGCTCAAGTGGTAGAGCGCTCGCCTTGAGCTGAAGAGCTGAGGGACAGCGCCCAGGCCGAGAGTTCAAGCCCCACGACCGACAAAAAATAAATAAATAAATAAATAAAAGCCTAGACAAGAGGCTCAGGAACTGAAAGAGGTCCACCGAAGTAGAGGTGCCCAGAGTGGTTTAGAGAAAAGGGCTGTGTGGCAGACAGAGGCATGAGCAGAAAGGGTGTAGTGATCTAGGTAGAGTTTGTTTGGGCTTGAGTCAAGAGCAGCTGGGAGCTATTGAGAGATTTCTGGAGTAGAAGCATCATGAGCTGATTTGCTTTGTTTGTTTGTTTGTTTTGGCTTAAACTTGGGGCCTGTGTGCTGTCCCTAAGCTCTTTTGTTGCTGTTGTTGGTTGTGGGACCTGAACTCTGGCTTGGGCACTGCCCCTCACAGCTCAAGGCTAGCACTCTACCACTTGAGCCACAGTGCCACTTCCAGCTTTTTTCTGCTTATGTGGTGCTGAGGAATCAAACCCAGGACCTCATGTATACAAGGCAAGCACTTTACCACTGAGCCACCTTCCCAGTCCTTTTTGTGCAAGGCTATTATTCTACCACTTTGAACCACAGCTCTACTTCCGGTTTTCTGATGGTTAATTGGAGATATGAATCTCAAGACCTTTTCTGCCGGAGCTAGCTTTGAACCAGATCAACAGATCTCACCCTCCTGAATAGATAGGATTACAGGATTACAGCCACCAGTGTCCAGCAACAGTAAGTTTTTTTTTTTTTTTTTTTTGGTCAGTTGTACGGCTTGAACTCAGGGCCTTGGCGCTGTCCCTCAGCCTCTTTGTGCTCAAGACTAGCACTCTACCACTTGAGCCACAACTGTACTTCCAGTTTTTGAGTCGTTAATTGGAGATAAAGGTTTCATGGGGACTTTTCTGTCTGGGTTGGCTTTGAACTGGCTATCCTCAGATCTCAGCCTCCTGAGTAGGATTATAGGTATGAGCCACCAGCTGAGTAACTTTTTATGGGACAAAGGTTAAGCTTTCTTTCTGATCTGTTATTAAGTCTGAAGTTTAAGAACAATTAAAATAATCTCAGATTATCAAGGTCTTTATTACGTACTTATCTTTGTGAGTTATGAGTAACACAGCATAAGAAAAGAAGCAGACATTTCCTGGTTTTTCTTTTTTCTTTTTTCTTTTTTTTTTTATGTCAGTTGTGGGTCTGGGCGCAGTCCCTCAGCTCTTCAGCTCAAAGCTAGCACTCTACCACTTGAACCACTGTGTTACTTCCAGTTTTCTGGTGGTTAATTGGAGGTAAGAGTCTCATGGACTTTGCTGCCTGGGCTGGCTTTGAACCGTGATCCTCACATCTTGGCCTCCTGAGTAGCTAGGATTACAGGCATGAGCCACTGGTGCCTGGCTACATTTCCTGTTTTTTAGGTAGATCTCTATTGGCCATTTTGTTGATAGACCTTTTATTCATTTATTTTAATGCTGGGCCTGGGGCTTGGACGGAGGGCCTGAGCACTATCCCTTACCTTTTCATTCAAGGCTAATACTCTGCCACTGGGGCCACAACTCCACTTCTGGCTTTTGGTGGTTAATTAAAGGTAAGAGTCTTGTTGACTTTCTTGCCCAGGCTAGTTTTGAAATATAATCCTCTGATCTCAGTTTCCTAAATAGCTAAGATTACCAGATTAATCCACCAATGTCTGGTTAAATTCCCTGTTGTTAGCAGGTACTTTTCCTTTGGGCCTGATCAGTGTTCCATTGTCAGGGAGGCCTGGATGCTCAGTACTCCCCTTGACTAGTCCTGGATGGGTTTCTTTGTTGTGCTGGCGGGCCTGGGACTTGGTTCTTTGGGTGCATTTGTCTCAGTATATAATTGTGTATGCAGTAGCATGGTTGTTTGATTAAAGTGTGATTGATACCTGTCTCACCAGGCAATAAGTCCCTTGAGGACAGAGATAGCATTTTTATTCATTTATTTATTTTTTTGGTGAAGGGCTTGAACTCTGGGCCTGGGCTCTGTCCCTCAGCTCTTTTTTTTTGGGGGGGGGGGGGGGTCCGGTCGTGGGCCTGAACTCTGGGCCTGAGCACTGTCCCACAGCTCTTCAGCTCAAGGCTAGCGCTCTGCCACTTGAGCCACAGCGCCACTTCGGCTTTTTTCTTTTTTGCTTATGTGGTGCTGAGGAATCAAACCCAGAGCCTCGGGCATGCAAGGCAAGTGCTCTACCACTGAGCCACCTTCCCAGCCCCTATCCCTCAGCTCTTCAGCTCAAGGTGAGCACTATACCACTTGAGCCACAGTACCACTTCTGGTTTTCTGGTAGTTCATTGGAGATAAGAATCTCACGGATGTTCCTGCCTGGGCTGGCTTTGAACCGCGATCCTCAGATCTCAGCCTCCTGAGTAGCTAGGATTACAGGGCTGAGCTACCAGTGCCCAGCTTTTTTTTTTTTTTAATGTTACCCTGTTGCTAATTTAATAGATGGCTAGTAGGCATTCACTGAATACAGTGGGTGTTAGCCAGCTCTGACCAGTCTCAAAGCTGAAGCTGCTGCCTCCCATAGACTGACTTGTCCCTCCTGTTTGTGGTACTCTCTCTGACATGAAATGAAACTAAGCAGCTTCCTCCTTTTTTTTTATTAAATTTTAAAATGAGCACAGAAACAGAAAAACACACAGAATTAATGTGTGAACTAATGACTTATTTTGGGAAGTCAAGCAATATAAGTTTATTGCCTATCAAGATGCCTTATCCACCGGGGCTGATGACTTCTGCCTGTAATCCTAGCTGCCTTGGAAAGTAACATCTCAGGATCGGGGTTCAAAGCCAACCCCAGAAAAGTCTATGAAGCTCAACTCCAACTGATCAACAAAAAAGTCATAAGTGATGCTGTAGCATAAGTGATAGAGTGGCAGCCTTGAGTGGAAAAACCCAAGCAAGAGCATGAGGGCCTTAGTTCAAGCCCTAGTTACACACCCCGACACACACACACACACACACACACACACACACACACAGCCCCACCCCATATAGCTGACCCCTACCTTCCCCAATTAGTAACCACTAGTCTGACTAAAGATGATCACTTCCAAGTTGTTACTGATCATAATTCTAAAAGACACAGTCCTGAACACTATAATCCCTACAGTCTAAAATTCTGAAAAATCACAAGTCTGTAAAAGAAAAATCCTGAAAATTGATATCTTGGTAGAAAAAAGGTTAAAGTAGAAAGCCTGATTCTGGGAAAGGGAGCCATGCATTTTCATTTTCATGCTAGGCGTAATGAATACTTAGAACCCTAGAAAGTATTGTTTGGGGCATATCTGTGAGGGTACTTCCAGATTCAGTGTGAATGTGTTCTGCAAGGATAGCCAGGCCTTGAAAGAAACATGAAAACTATTTATTGAATGCAGGGCTTCAAACTATAGTTAATGATTAGGAGAGCCACCCAGTTCTTATGAGCGCCTCCTTGCAATTGCCTGTAATCTATCCCTGTAAGGCATTTGCCCTCCCTGATCGTGGGGCTTGAACTCTGGGCCCTGGTGCTGTCCCTCAGCTCTTCAGCTTAAGGCTAGTGCTCTACCATTTGAGCCACAGCCCTACTTCCTGTTTTCTGTTGATTAATTGAAGAGTCTCACAGCCTTTCTTCCCCCGGCTGGCTTTGAACTGTGATCCTCAGATCTTGTCCTCCCGAGTAGCTGGGATTACAGGTGTGAGCCACTGGCACCCGGCTTAATGCATATTTTTATATACATTCAGATTTAGTTTTTTTTCCAACTATACTATTATATTAGTGCAAGGAATTAAACCTAGGGACTTGTTCATGTTAAGTATATGCCCTACTACTGGACTACAGCTCCAGCCCCTCCACCTATTTTATTTTTTTGGGGGTCTGGTCGTGGGGCCTGAACTCTGGGCCTGGGCGCTGTCCCTCAGCTCTTCAGCTCAAGGCTAGCGCTCTACCACTTGAGCCACAGCGCCACTTCCGGCTTTTTTCTTTTTGCTTATGCCTTATGCATGCAAGGCAAGCGCTCTACCACTGAGCCACCTTCCCAGCCCCACTATTTTATTTATTTTTACAATATTAGGGCTTGAATTCAGGGCCTCATTCTTATTAGGCTGGTGCTCTATCACTTCAGCCACAACTCCAGTCCTGATTTTTTTTTTTTGGTTGGTCATGGGGATTGAACTCTGGGCCTAGGTGCTGTCCCTCAGCTCTTTAGCTCAAGGCTAGTGCTCTACCACTTGAGCCACAGCGCCACTAGTAGTTTTCTGGTGGTTTATTGGAGAGCCTCATGGACTTTCCTGCCCAGGCTAGCTTTGAACTGTGATCCTCAGATTTCAGCCTCCTGAGTAGCTAGGGTTACAAACATGAACCACCGGCGTCGGCTTCCAGCCCTGATTTGTTTTGTGCCAGTACTGGGGCCTGAACTCAGTGCCTAGACACTGTCCCTGAGCTTTTTAATTCTAGACTAGTGCTCTGTACTTGAGCCACAGCTCCACTTTGGGCTTTTTGGTGATTAATTGAAGATAAGAATATTAGGTTGGTCTGCCCAGCTGGCTTTGAACATTACAAATCCTCAGATCTCAGCCTCCTGAGGATTATAGGCTTGAGCCACTGGTGCCTGGACAGCCTTGTTTTTTTGTTTGTTAGGTGTTTCTTGTTATTTTGTTTTGTTTTTGCTGGTTATTTTAGAGATAAGATCCCATGAACTTTTCTGCCCAGGCTGGTCTCAAACCACAATCCTTCTGCTCACAGACTCCTGTAGCTAGAATTGCAGATGTGAGCCACCAGCATCCTGCTCCTCCAAGTATTTTATTTATTTATTGTTGGTATTGGGGCTTGAACTCTGGGCCTGGGCACTATCCCTGAGCTCTTCAGCCAAAGGTGAACGCTGTACCACTTGAGCCATAGTGCCACTTCCGGTTTTCTGGTGGTTAATTGGAGATGAGTCTCATGGACTTTCCTGCCTAGGCTGGCTTTGACCTTGAACCTCACATCTCAGCCTCCTGAATAGCTAGGATTACAGGAGTGAGCTACTGGAGCCTGGCTCTACATTGAAATTTTTTCATTCATATGTAGAATTATTTATTGTTTTTGTTGCTGTATATTCTATATAAGTATACATTATTTTATTGAGTTAACTTTACCTTTTATTAGCATATATTAGTTGTACAAAGAGGGATTTTTTTTGGGGGGTGGGGGAGTTCCAGTCATGGGGCCTGAACTCTGGGCCTGAGTGCTGTCCCTCAGCTCTTCAGCTCAAGGCTAGCGCTCTACCACTTGAGCCACAGCGCCACTTCCGGCTTTTTTCTTTTTGCTTATGTGGTGCTGGGGAATCAAACCCATGGTCTCATGCATGCAAGGCAAGCGTTCTACCACTGAGCCACCTTCCCAGCCCCCAAAGGGGGATTTATTGTGACATTTCCACACTGTACCTAATGTGTCCGGCTCAGTCTCACCTCTATCACCGTCCTCTATCTCACACCCCCTTCTTAAAACAATTTAATAGGTTTAATTGTAATAGAATAATTAGCCCTCCTTCCTCCCACTAACCCCCTCCATCCAAGCCTGCTTACTTTCCTGTTTATTCTATTGCATTAATTTTCAAACTGTATTGGCAGTTTATAAGGAAATTAGATAACACTGAAAAATACTTTTTCTAATCTTCAAACAAGGGGGTTTCATTTTAGCATGAATCTTCAAACAAGACTGTTTCTTTTTCTCTTTTTCTTTCTTTCTTTCTTTTTTTTTTTTGTTGGTCGTGGGGCCTAAACGCTGGGCCTGGGCGCTGCCCCTCAGCTCTTCAGCTCAAGGCTAGCGCCCTACCACTTGAGCCACAGCGCCACTTCTGGCTTTTTCTGCTTATGTGGTGCTGAGGAATTGAACCCGTGCAAGGCAAGCACGCTACCACTGAGCCACCTTCCCAGCCCTACTATTTCATTTTAACATGTCCATTTATAGGTACAGTTCATCTTGATCAGAGTCACACTCTGCCATCACCCTCCCTCCCTAAAAAATTGTTTGGTTAATATTTAGTTATTTACTTAATTATTATGAGTATATCAGTTTTTCCAATTTGTTTTTTTCTGATGAGGACTCAATACATATCTTAGTAAGCCTTTAATATAGTAATAGTCTATTATAAGAAACGCCATTAAATTTCACATAAATTAACAAGCTGACAGTTGTTTTATGAGACTGTTAACTAAAAACAAGGCAGGTGGTCGAGCACTAGGCAGGCATGTACAGTGAGCTCGGGAGTCTATCCTCAGAATGAAACCTCTGAGAGTTTAATTGGTTCAGTAACACTTGAAGAAGCAAGGCTGTAATTTCTCCTTGAGAAATTGCCTGAAGGAAGAAATACTTTTGGGCCATGGTTTCCAAAGTTTCAGTCTGAGGTCACTTGGCTCTACTCTTGAACTCGTAGAGGGAGAATGAGGAGCATGTGTTTAGTTTACCTCATGGCTGCCAGCAAGCTGGAAGTTGTTTGTTTGTTTGTTTTCCAGAATTATATTTTCAGAATTTGGATCCTTTCAGATTTTGGCCTTCAAGGAATTTGAATTTCAAGATCTTAATACCAGGGATCACGGGTTCAGTGACTTTTTTTCTCATTTGAGATTAGTGCCCACACTCCTCAAGTTTTTTTTTTTTTCTTTGTACTTTTATCATGCAAACATGCATCCTTTGGCAGAAATTTAGTCTTGCCCTTTCAAAAACTTCTCTGTGTCTTTTAGTCTACTTTAATTGAGCCCTGGGCTGTTCCACGTGTAGAATTTCCCTGTCTGGATTTTGCAGGTTGTCTGTTCCTTGCTCACTTCAGCTATTCCTCTGTTCTCTGCATTTCTTGCAGAGAGATAGCTTTACCCAAAGACCCAGCCAGGCTCAGAATCCTTCTCCCCTTTGGCAAGGTTAAAAGGCACAAGCAGTGTCTCTGCATGATGATGTTAGTTACCACTTTTCATCCAGTTACTTGGATACCTACCAAAGAGATTCTTCCTAGGATCTTTTATTGGTTACTGCTCATATAGACAAAGAAATGCTTCTATATCCATGATCAGTTTTCATTTATTATGAATTGTTTCTCTGTCATCCTCCAGAGCTTTTTAATCACTATAAATGTATGGATATAAGCATAGTTCTATTCCCTTGCACAATTATGGCACTACCTGTAGAGCAACCCTGGCATCCAGCTGTGCATTCATCCCAAGGACTTGCCATAGAGGAGAGTGACAGCACGGGGCCTGGGAGAGTGGGACTGGACCGGTGCCAGGTTCCCTGGCGACACTGTCCACAGCTGCTTCTCGCATGGGTCTCCACCCATCTTGGTGGAGCCCATTCCTGCTGCCTCTCCCAGCTGGTTCTCTGTGACTCTCCTTTCCCTTCCCAGGTTTGGTCGGAAGAACGTGCTATTTGTGACCATGGGCATGCAGACAGGCTTCAGCTTCCTGCAGATCTTCTCAAAGAACTTCGAGATGTTTACCGTGCTGTTTGTCCTTGTAGGCATGGGCCAGATCTCCAACTATGTGGCAGCATTTGTCCTGGGTATGGCCCTCAAGTTGGAGTTGAGTACTTGATCCTATGTTTCACTGTCACCCCATTCTGCAGACAGCTGCGATGCCCTGCAGAAGGATGCGCTCTCCAGCAACACTGACCAGAGATTTCTAGTGAACCTAATTTGTCAGCAGGGAGATTGAGCCAGATACCTGACCACCTTTTGGTCCACAGTGACACAATAAGCCTAACTTCTGATTTCCAGTTACTTTTCTGGACTCCCAAGGTGTAGCAGACATTGGTCTGATTAGTACTTGATGCCATTCAACTAAAACTTAGCAGAGATCATCCATTTTCAAAAGTTTGTACTACAGGGCTGAGGTGGCCAGATGGCATGAGGTTTAAAGCCACCATGGGTAGGCTCTCCAGGAAAGAGAACTGCCATCTGTGTCAAAGGGTTATGGCCATTGGTGTCTACCAACAAGAATAAACTAGCTCAAGTTTTGGTTCAGTGTCTATCACGCAAGGCTTTGGTTCAGAAATGTCAGCATATTCTCCCGGAAAGGTTGTCAGTCTCTGTTAGGAGTCTGACTTAGAACTAATCAAATCTTTGGGGGTTCTTGGGTTGTATTGTTAAAAGGATTATTTTTTCTTTTCACATGTAATAAATATATTTTTTTTCCTTAGAGAATAATACTGAGCATATGTGCCCTTAGTAATGACTTTGCCTCTAATGAAGTCTTCCTCGTGAGAAGAGAAACACCTCATATGGCATCGTTAGCATGTGGCCAAGAAAGCAGTGACATTTTCATGTTGCTGAGAGGTCTCTCAGTGAGGCACCCCCGGATATGATCAGAGCAGATTGGGTTCAGAGCTGATCCCACCCTAAGGCTGGGGAATGTAGAAATAATTCTGGCTGCCTCCTTGTCTCTATGTTGAAAAATGACACCATGGAAGACAAATAAGGAAATAACGTGCAAGTAACTAACTTGACCCCTCCTTTGTTTTGAACAGGAACAGAAATCCTTGGCAAGTCAGTTCGCATACTATTTGCCACATTAGGAGTGTGCATATTTTATGCATTTGGCTACATGGTGCTGCCACTGTTTGCTTACTTCATCCGAGATTGGCGCATGCTGCTGCTGGCACTGACTGGGCCAGGGGCCCTTTGTGCTGCGCTCTGGTGGTGAGTGGTAGCCCTATACCTGGTGCAATCTCCTCACAGGGTTGCTTCCCCCAGATGTCCACCAGAGGGCAGCAACAACCGCCTTCAGCTCCTTGTCTGGGCTCCCAGAGCTAGGAAGTGTAGATCATTTATAAATTGCTTCAAAATGCTTGAGAATGTCTGTCAACACAGAGAAGAGCCAAAACAAAAACCATTCCAGCCTATCAACAGCCTTGTTGTCATCCCTCTGCTGGGTTGATCTAAGTGCAAGGAACAGAAGTAGCTGTGAGAAAATGGGGTCCAAGATGACCTCTGGAGAGTTCTCACACTCTTTCTCTCCCTCTCCCCGCTGGGATAAGACAGAAGGTCCATGATTGGAGGGGTGTGCTCTTGAGGCCTCATGCCACAGGCGTGGAGAGAGAAGGGGTAGTCTCTAAGTGAGAGTTTTCAAGGTGGCTGTACCAAGGAAGGCAAGCCACATGTGCGCCTCTAAGGATTGCACAGGCAAAAAGGTCATTCCACACCCCAAGCAGAAGAGCTGACGTGAGAATTATCCCCTAGAACAGGAGAGTGAGCTCACTGGCCCACATGGAACAAGGAACATTTCGGGGCACAGTGGGAGAGGAATCAAGGCATCATGCTGGGGCCTGGTTGCGACACAAGTGCCCAAGACTTGAAGTGTTCAGGTGCCTTGGTAATCCCCCCCACCCCTTTTTTTGGAGGGGGTGCCAATCCTGGGGCTTGAACTCAGGGCCTAGGTGTTATCCCTGAGAGTTTTTTTTTTCACTCAAGGCCAGTGCTCTACCACTTGAGCCACAGCTCACTTCCCACTTTTGGTGGTTCATTGGAGATAAGCATCTCATGGACTTTTCTGCTCAGGCTGGCTTTGAACTTCAATCCTCAGATCTCAGCCTCCTGAGTTGCTAGGATTCCAGGCGTGTGCCCCTGACACCTGGCAGTCATGCTGATTTACATTGGGTGGATGACAGGTCTATTTGATAAGTGGTGGGGAGAAAATACAAGTTAAAAGATCAGAGAGAAACTTCCATCGCTGTTTCCTTAAAGCCCTGCAGAGGACATCACCATCCCTCCAAAATGGAGGTGGCCACCCTATATGGGGATCCCCTGGAGAGTTTAGGGGCCTCCATGTTCCACACACTACAGTCGGTGACTTCCAGAGCTCACACCCCAAGTTACCGTGACTGTCTCCCTGTTTCTGGCTTGTGAACATCAGACATTCCACAAACTTGAAACCTTACTTCTTGCCTCCAGTTCTCACCTCGGCCATTGAGAAAGCCTCACAGGAATTGTCCTTGTACCCCCAGGTTTATCCCCGAGTCCCCCCGATGGCTCATCTCACAGGGGCGATATCAGGAGGCAGAAGTGATCATCCGCAAGGCTGCGAAAATCAACGGAATCGTTGCGCCTTCCACCATCTTTGACCTGAGTGAGGTAAGCTCTGCCTGCCGTGGTAGAGGAGGTCACAGAGGCCAGGACTTGAGGGGAGCCGCTTCCACCTCGCCCACAGGAGCCCGGCCCTTGTCCTGCCCAAGCCCTGGCTCTTTCCAGGCAGACCTGTTCAATCCCAGTAGCTGAGGAATAGGAATACCCCTTTCTCATGGCTAGATGTTCATGCTTTATTTACTTACTCCCAGGCAGTCACACATTTTCTTTTTTTTTGGGGGGGGGGGTCCGGTTGTGGGGCCTGAACTCTGGGCCTGGGCACTGTCCCTCAGCTCTTCAGCTCAATGCTAGCGCTCTACCACTTGAGCCATAGCACCATTTCTGGCTTTTTTTTTTCTTCTGCTTATGTGGTGCTGAGGAATTGAACCCAGGGCCTCATGCATGCAAGGCAAGCGCTCTACCACTGAGCCACCTTCCCAGCCCCCAGTCACACATTTTCATCATCAGCTTTAATATGAAACACCCTTTATGAGACACAGGCCTTTTGCAACATCAGCATTTTGGAAAAATCAGTGTTTCTTGGGCCTCAGTAAATAACATGCAAAACACAGGTAGATTTGCAGTTAGAAGTATTTAGTCTCGGCTGGGAATATGGCTTAGTGGTAGAGTACTTGCCTAGCATGCATGAAGCCCTAGGTTCGAACCCTCAGAATCACATATGCAGAAAAAGCTTGAGTGGTAGAATGCTAGCCTTGAGCAAAAGAAGCTCAGGGACAGTGCCTAGGCTGTGAGTTCAAGCCCCAGGACTGGCAAAAAAAAAAAAAAAATAGTGTTTAGTCTCTCGGGGTTGGAGGTGTGGCTTGGTTGGTAGAGCCCTAGCCAATGAGCCAAAGCATCAGGTACTGAGTTCGAGTTTCAGTCTTGTACCTGAAAAATAAGAGAGAGAGAGAGAGAGAAGTATTCAGTCCCTATTCACCCCTCCAGTGGCTAGTGATCACATATCAGTTGGAGCCAGATCTTTTCTGATGTTCATTGCTTTCTCTTCCCCACCCTCGTCTGCAAACCACGTTCTCACACTGAGTAATTTCTTGGCTCAGCTGGCACCTGGTGCCTGCTGCTTCCTGTTACTCCTCCTCTCTTCTCTGCCACAGGCAGTCTTCTCAAGCTCAGCTATAAGAAGAGATTAGAATCTATACATACTAGAGGCTGTGGCTCTGCAATATGTCTTTAGTCTGACGGGAAGACAAGGGATGGGCTATGGAAACAGCCACAAGTCATTAATGTTAGAGACATGGAGGGCTTAGAATGCAAACTCAGGGCTTGAGAGAGGAAAACCGGTTGCCAAAGCAACCAAGGGGCCAATGGCCACAGGCAGCCCTGCTGGCGTCTCCCTTAAGTGGGAGTCCGGCAACAGCTCCCACTCAGCATGTTCTGGAAAGGGCTCTAACACACAGAGGTCAGGACAGGAATGTGGCCAAGAGGGTTTTAAATGAGGTGGCTTTGAAGTGAGGGGTCAGTTTGGGCAAAGCCCTGAACCCCATTCACATCTCTGCGGAAATAAGACTACTTCAAGGGATCCTTTAAGTCTGAAGCTGACCTTTTGTTGAACTGCTAAACTTGGAGGGGGGAAAGAAAAAAAAAGCTGCAAAGCTGGGTTTGCTTAAGAAAGCAACATCAGTGTGTTTAGACGTGCAGCTTATTAATGGCCTCAACTGTGCCTAATTTCATAGGAAGTTACTCCGGGTGAAGCTGAGGTCAATTTTCCTGTTTTTCAATTTGAATTTTTTTTTTTTTTCCTCCCTGGAAGTAGACCAGTAACTACATGGTATGAGAACTCAAAACATTTCATTCTTCTTAAATGTCAGATCAAGAAACTGCACAGCTACTTTTTCTCCCTGACCCAGAAGGCAGGGAGCCAACCTTGGAGAAGAATGCACCCCTGAAGCCTCCGGAATGTGGTCGTGGTGGTAGCTGGGGTGGTTTCCCCGAGGGAGCTGTCAGCCAGCGCCTTGTGTCTTTGCTACATCCTTTAAGGGACTGATCGCCTCTCTTTTCTCCTCATTTGAATACATTCTCGTTCGTAAATGATAAGGCTTCCGTCAGTCTTCAGCTGCCCTATCTGTCACTCTACTTCCTGTTCTATTTTTCAAGGAAGAACCAGAAAAGGCTCCCCGGAAATAGCTAAGATGTCAGATTTTGAATTATGGGACTTCATGCTCATAAGTCTCTGACCTTCTCTCTCTTCTCTGCCCCTTCATTATTGTGGTCCTGCAGTTACAAGACCTAAGTTCCAAGAAGAAGCAATCCCATCGCATTCTGGATCTGCTCCGAACCCGGAACATCCGGATGATCACCATCATGTCCATAGTTCTGTGGTGCGTAAGTCAGATCTCCCCAAGATGGCCGTCAAGCCTCCTGCTTATAGACATGCCTCAGGCCACAAATGAAAGCCTGTGTCATCACGAAGTGCCAGGGATATCTTGTGCTGGCTGGAAGAAGTGGGTGTATCACAATTCTAAACATGATGGAATCTCAGAGAAGGAAAAGGAAAACTCCTGCCAAGGCTCTTTGGGGAAGTAGAGATCTTTGGGAGTTCACCAGATCCTGAGAAGAACCATTGCTCACTTTGTTCCTTGTTTAGTTGTTCTGGTTCCCATCTCTTCCCCCCTAATCACAGGTAGTGGCAGAGGGGAACGGGAGGGCTTTTTAAGAAGGATCGAAGTGGAGGCACTTTATCCTTTAGGTGACAAAATCTGCTAAGAGCTTCCTGGAAATGGGGGCGCAGGACAGGCCATTTCTGGGATGCTCATGAACTGTCCTGAGGTCAAAGCCATAGCCTTAAATGTCCTCTCCAGTTTCCATCCATTTCCATCTAAGGAAACATCTTACAAGTACCAGGATGGGATTGTGAGTTACCAGAAATAAAGAACACATCTGAGTGCCTGAATAGCTTGGTCTAGACCCATAGCAGGCTACTCAAGCCTGCTGAGTGGATTAGGATGAGTGAGGATGACTAGTACTCAGGAGGCTGAGATCTGAGGATCACAGTTCCAAGCCAGCCTGGGCAGGAAAGTGCATGAGACTTCTCTCCAGTTAACCACCAGAAAACCCCATGACTACCATCACCACCAACAACAAAAAAAGTATGATTGAGTATGAAAGCCTTCATTCTGAGTCCTTGCTACTAGATTCAGCCATTGGCAGGCTGCGATGAGTCACCCATTTCCAAGGAAAAGCCCCAGATCTCTCAAGGTACTGCACTGCTGCCTGGCTTTACCTTAGTTAAGACCAGCAACTAGCCTGCACCTTAGGCTTGGCAGCCTGTAATGTGTTCACAAAGACTCACCTCTCTGCTTTAGATTTCTCAGGAACTTGCAGACACTGTAACCCGCTGTGTCCTCTACCTGCAGATGTATCAGAAACAGTATGGTTTCCAAAGAGTGTGGGTCATTATCAGAGAACACTTACTGAGAACAGGGGCCGGGCCAGGCACCTTGGAGGTCATGCAGATGAGCGGCAATGTTACCCCACCATTTTGAGCTCCATCTTGTCACCACAAACATAGTGGAGCTTCCTCTGATGAGCTTTTTTTGGCTGGTCACCCCAGTCTGTTGGAGGGTGTGGGGGTGACTTTTTCCAAATATTAGTTCTAATACTTGCCTTATCCCTGTGTTTCTGTAATGCCTTACTTGATGTCTGCTGCCTTACTTCATCCCTAGCTCCTGTACTTGCTGAGTTTGAGAGACTCGTAGAGGAAGGAGGCGGGATTCCATAAATGCTTCATCTTGGGGGTTGGGGGGTTCACAGGGCTTGAACTCAGGGCCTGGGCATTGTCCCTGCACTTTTATGCCCAAGGCTAGCAATCTGCCACTTGAGCTACAACCCCACTTCAGGTCTCTTTTTTTGGGGGGGGGGGGGTGTTTAACTGGAGATCAGAGTCTCACAGGCTTCCTTCCTGGGCTGGCTTTAAACTTCACTCCTCAGATCTCAGCCTCCTGAGTAGCTAGGATTATAGGTATGAGCCACCAGTACCAGGCTCAGTTTAAGATTTTTAAAGGTAAAAGGTTGGATTTTGTGTGTGTGTGTGAATAAATCAATCTGAATTGTATAACCCTGTTGCTGGGTCATTTCCTTCGTAGAACGCTCTGAAATCTAGTAAAAGATTTCCATTATCCCACTTCTTTCTGTGAAATAAGGCGCAAGGTGGAATCCTTTGCTGCTTTGCTAGTCTGCTGCTGAAAGAGTAGCTTGACATTTTCCCCAAGAGAATTGCGCAGGTTGGGCGAGATACATGCTGCCTTCTCTAGCTTCCTTCTGTGCTTTCTTGCAGGCTGACCATCTCCGTGGGCTATTTTGGGCTATCCCTTGATACTCCTAACTTGCATGGGGACATCTATGTGAATTGCTTCCTCTCGGCAGCAGTAGAAGTCCCAGCATATGTGTTGGCCTGGCTGCTACTGCAACACGTGCCCCGGCGTTATTCCATGGCCACAGCCCTCTTCCTGGGCGGCAGTGTCCTTCTCTTCGTGCAGCTGGTGCCCCCAGGTAGGGACCATGTGCATCAGCAGTCCCTGATCTCCATTGTGCCACCCACTCTCTACCACGCTGTCTTTCTCAGTTAATAGAATACACTCAAGCCCTTCACAGCTCTCCTGCCTATCTGTGTTTTGGGGCTTAAAAATTAAAAGAGACAGTGCCTCATGAGAACAGAACATTCTTTGTAGCTGGGCTTTAGAAAGTAGGGAAGAATAACCATTGGGCAATTGACTAATGTTTGCTCTAGACCCAAAGTAATGCTTGCTTTCCTATCAGGAATAAAGAGGAGGAAAGAAAGTCATCGCCATTATTTTTTCCCTAGCCCTGGTCTCAGTTATTCATCCAGTAGCTTTGAGGTGCTAACTGTGGGCCTGATGCTAGTGATGGAGAATTCTAGGTTCTCATGGAGCTCATATCCTAGTCGAGAAGACCAACAAACAAGCCAATTAAATGTGTTACAATTCTGTGAGTCAAAGAAAAGGCCAGTGGGGAACTAACTCCAGAGTAGTCATAGTATCGAGGGCACACTTCAGCAGAAATGTGCTTGAAGTGACAGAATGCCCTGGGAGACATTTACAGAAGAAGAGACACTAAAAGCAGAAACTGGACAGGGAGTAAGCCCAGCACAGTTAAGGACAAAGAGGGCGCTAGTAAGTAATGAAGGGGAAAAGAGGGAGGAGAGGTTGTCAGGGACTATTGACAGGATTGTCCTTGTAAACTATCTGGTGTCCCACTGATGGGCAGAAAGAGCCCTTTGTGACCATTTCTAAAACAGATGATGGGCCCTCACCTGTCCATCAGGGTATATCCAGAGTATCTGGTGCACCTGCAGGTTTCAGAGCCTCTGGTCATCATTTGGGGGCCTGTCATGCTGGGATCCTTCTGCACAAGAACAACCTGTTTATCATGTGGCAGAGGAGTCCAGGAGGGAATGTAGGGGTTCACACCAGTGCTCAGAGAAATCCTTAGGTCAATGTCTCTCATTTGAAGAATGAGATAGATGGGAAGATAATACTGAATTCTCCCGTCAGGTAAAGTTCTTATTAAATCCCATAGTTTCTGCAGGATGAGGTTTTGGGGTGACAGCTCATTCCCTAAAAGATATATCTGTGGTATCTTGTGGACTGGAAGACAGGCAGATTGAGCTGTGGGGAGCTATCTCATGGCCTCAAGATTGAGGTTAACTTAGAAATCCTGGCTCTGACCTCCATCTTGCAATAGGAAGTTATAGAAACTGATCCAATCCCCACTCCCAAAACCAGGGGAGAAAGTAAGTTTCGGGCTGAACAAGAACAGAACTCTTTCCTGGCAAGATACAGGAAGTTGGTACCCACTACTGCTTTGTTTTCCTTTGTCTCTCCAGACCTGTATTATTTGGCCACGGTTCTGGTGATGGTGGGCAAATTTGGAATCACTGCTGCCTTTTCCATGGTGTATGTGTACACTGCCGAGTTGTACCCTACTGTGGTCAGAAACATGGGTGTCGGGGTCAGCTCCACAGCATCCCGTCTGGGCAGCATCCTGTCTCCATACTTCATTTATTTGGGTAAGTCAGATGGACCACGGGCATAGTGAGTGATAAGGATGAAAGCACTTAATTGGCTTTAATGTGAGCCAGAGGTAGCTGAGCAGACAATAAGTATATCCTGCAAACAGAATCCATCCTGTCCTGGATCGCTGGCCAGGAGGGCACTTGGCCAGGAAGACTTAGGGGGAGGCACCACCCTCAAATAGAAACCACCAATAGACTAGCTAGAAAATGGATGGGAAAGTTTGAGGGGTTTATGTTTTAACTACCCCAGACCTCCACATCAGGCTTGTGTCCTAAAGCACTATAGGATACGTTAAGATACCAGTATATTTAATTGAAGAAATTTCTTCCTGGACTCCAGGGCACAAGGAAAGATGTCCATCTAAGGAGTCTGATAAATAGAAAGATTGTCACTTGGAGCACTTTACGGAGTAGTTTTACACCATTTTTATGTAGCAGCAACAATTTTCTCTTCCTCAAAAAATACTTCTTACCAGGTGCTGGTGGCTCATGTCTTAATCCCAGCTACTCAGGAGGCGGCTGAGATCTGAGGGTTGCAGTTTGAAGCCAGCCTGGGCAGGACAGCCATAAGACTCTGAGCTCCAATTAACCACCAGAAAACCAGAAGTGGCACTGTGGCTCAAAGTAGTAGAAGTGCTAGCCTTGAGAAAAAAAAAGCTCAGAGACAAGTGCCCAGGCCCTGAGTTCAAGCCCCATGACCAAACCAAAAAAAACAAAAAAATCCTTGCCAGAGCTGTGCTTCCCCTGCACATCCCTAACAGCTTGTGTTGGGTAGGACTGGCACTTATCTCTGGGAATACCCAAGCTGCTCTGTGGGATGCTGCACAGATCTAATAAGCAAGCAGTGATACCTTCCTGTCTCACCTTGAAAGAAAACCAAACGGGTGTGACCCAGCTTCAGTTGAAGTCGTTCCTGTCCCTGCACATGTGCCTCATGTTCCTTGGAAACTCAATATTGGGAAATAGGAATACCCCTCTCGACTCAGCTCCTCCGCTTCCCACATTACAGAAGCACTGCTAGACCTCTAGGCATGCCTGTGCTAGCTCTGGGTTCTAAGTCTGTGTAGGTACAGTCTTGCAGTTGATTCTGTGGGAGGCACTGAAGCCACCATGGAAGACAGATCCCTTTCACAGCGTCCTAGAAACATAAATGATTTAAGAATAAGACTAAGTCTCATCGAAGCCTGGGGCCTGGGCCTCTCTCTGGCTCTGTCACAGGTGCCTATGACCGGTTCCTACCCTACATTCTCATGGGAAGTCTGACCATCTTGACAGCCATCCTCACCTTGTTCTTCCCCGAGAGCTTCGGTATCCCTCTCCCAGACACCATTGACCAGATGCTAAGGGTCAAAGGGTAAGGAGGCCTCCATCTTCCCAGTATGGATGCACTATGTGCAGTAGCGCCCCCTGCAGAGGGGGATTAGAAATGATGGCAGTGGTCTAATCTGGTGTGGGCGTGTTTCTGTGCACATCTCCATGGCAACAAATGCTCTGGGATAGCCCAGTGACCTGGAGAAGCCTTTCAAAATCTGTTGTATGATTGTTCTTTTCCTAAGTGAAGTTATATTCATTTCTGGTTGTTTGATTGGTGGGTGGGTTGGGTTTGAAACTGGTAGACATCTGAAGATTGGTTGCTAACCATTTGTTTTGCTTGTCTTATTAGAATAAAATATAGACACACTCCAAGCCACACAAGAATGTTTAAAGATGGTGAAGAAAGCCCTACAGTTCTCAAAAGCACAGCCTTTTAACACACTTCCAGTAGCTAAAAAAGCTGAAGAGGAAAGCCTGCATCTTGTGTGAGAAACTCTTGAGTCCTTCCATGACCAAGGGCTTTGCTGTTTATCCTGTTGACCTTGTGTCAGACTTGCTCACTGCTGGGCACGGGGACCCAGGAGGGGCCCCCCCTTTCCTCCAAGAGACTTGGTGGCTACCTGCAGACAGCTTCTACATCCTGTCGGGCTTGGCATTTGGGAAGAAGTTAATGATTGATTAGAACTGGTGGGATCAGGAAGAATAGGAAAGGCATCTAGAAACTCTTTTAGATTTGGTCCCCAGATAAAACTGGAGGTCTAAGTTTTCTTCCTCCTTTCTAATGGTGAGCCTTAGAGGACAGCACTAACTCCAGGCTGAGGATGGAACTCTGTGATAGAGCACTTGCCTAGCATGCACAAGATCCTGGGTTCAATCCCCAAAGGAAACACTTCCACAGGGAGTTTGATAGTTGGTTTTTTTTTTTAATTTTTCCTCAGTTACAAAAGGCCATTAAAAGGGGACAATTGTGACCCTATAGCAGAAGAGCACAGGATGTAGGGAAACCCTAAAGATAATTAAGATGGACAGGCCATAGCAGATGGCATTGATTGTGACCATTAAGTCTGACTGCTGGGTGGACTTGTTTACATCTGAATAAAGCACTAGGCTTGTCCAGGCCCATGAGAAATACATTGTTCAATCCACTATGCTTGTTTTTCCACTACTGTGTCAATCAAACTTCCTGGCTACTCTAGCTTACCTGTGGTTTGAAGGAAATGTGAGAAATAGTGTCTGAAATGAGGTTTTATTTTGTTGTTTTTGTTTTTTGGGTGTTTTTTTTTTTTTTTGTCTGTTTGTTGTTATGTCTCCTCCTCCTTAAGTTATTTGCCCAGTCAGTAGAGACTTGGGAACAGCCCACTGCTCAGCCTTTTAGTTTGTGTCTGTCCTTTTAATCCAGAACCACTCTGGCAATTGTCCGCAGTCGCCACTTATACAAAGCCGTTTCAACCTTAGCCACTAGCACTTATCCAAGTGCCAAAAAAAGAAACCCCAAAAACAAAAAACAGTGTGATTGTCATGTGCTCCTGTTGTGATACCTAATCATAGGTAAAATTACAAAACAAAAAAAAAAAGCATAAATCATGTTAGTTTTTCCCAGTTGCTCGCTTCAGTCATGTGACAGCATTACTGGGAGGTCTTTTGTGTTCAGTGTAATTGTCTTCTCTTCCGATTATGTTACCATGTACTCCTGAAGCGTATGCTTCATCTGCTTTAAAAAAAAAAAAAAAAAAAAGACAAAACAAACCTATTTTTTGAAAGCTACTGAAGTGCCTTGGGAAATCAGAGCATTTTAATAAAATGATTTTTTTTAATAATAGCAATTGCCTACAATCTTTGTTTCCAGAATTCGACAACGCCCTTGCCTTCCACACCATCTCCCCTGACTCCTCTCACTCTACTTTGGGTTTATTCTAGCAGTGGTTTGGGATTCTATTATATGGTTAATATTAGTCCCTGTTGTTAGAAATCTCCACACTAATCACCAATTAGGAACTGTGCCAGCCTTCTCAGGCTGAGTTCCCCTCCGCATGAAACCTGAGACTAGCACTTTCATGCTGTTTAGATCAGTTAACCTGGAAACAATATTTTAGTGGGTGTAAAAAAATAGAGGGTGAAGAACGTGAAGGAGGTGGAACCAGTTCTAGAATGTATTATCCAGTTAGAGTAAGGGATGCTGCAGCTAGCCAGAACTTTTGAGGAGGCCTTTGAAATGTACCTCAAAATCTGCCTCTCTCACAAGTGTCTGCCTTCCACATTTCCATACAGCTCTGTCCATTGAAAGCTTGAGGTGTCATATTGAAGCTCAGAAGTGAGATCCTTCTAGGTTGCACTTCAGCAAAGCTGGCTAGAGACTATGTGAACTGGTTCTTGCAGCTGTAGCCAGGGTAAGATGAGAGCAAGGGAGTTCAGATTGAGTCTGATCCACAAAATCTGTGGCAGACATCTCTGTTCTATTAAAAGCTCCCGGGTTGCAGGACAGAAACAGCAACAGCAGCAAATTCCATGAACACTAGCACCTGGAGAACACTTGGCATCTCCACTCCTCAGGCCCAGTTTTGTGCTGCGGTCCTGATTTGCCAATGTCACAGGACTTCAGATTCTGAATGACAGTCCACCCTGTCCTTTCTTCTGCTGCATGAGTGAACACTTTCGGTCTTGTTTCTTATTCTCAATGTCTCCACTTCCAGCTCTTCATGGTCTCTTGCTGGCAAAAACCGCAGAAGACTTTTGAGTTCTTCCTGTGGTAGGATAATAGGCAGACTTGCTCGTGGAGTTGTGTGTGAAGATCCAACTCCTCTGCCTGAGCCTGCTGGACTTGTTTTCATTAGAGCTGTGCCTTATGGAGTAGGTCATTCTGACCAGGGATCTCATCTCAGAATGACACATGGAGGGGCTGGGAATGTGTCTTGATGGTAAAGTGCTTGTCTAGCATGCACGAAGCCCTGGGTTCAATTGCTCAGTACCGCATCAACAGAAAAAGCCAGAAGTGGTGCTGTGGCTCAAGTAGTTTTAAGCATTATGCCCACCTTTGGTCCTCAGCTCCACTCACACCTGAGCTTCTCCCTGCCCTGGAGTTCTCACCATACAGCTGGCCCCTCCCTCTCTCCTCCCAGACCCACCTGAACTCCCATCTACCTCACTTCCTACTCCCCAGACTCTGCTGCTACCTAGATAGTGGAGGCTGCCATGCGCTCTCCAGGGGAAATATGGCTCCTCTAATAAACCTTGTAATAATCTTTCTCCTGTGCCTGCCTGCCTCTGCGTGGTCCTCTGGGATGGATGGTGATGGATCCTTTCAGTAGTAGAGTGCTAGCCTTGAGCAAAAGAATCTCAGGGGCAGTGCTCAAGCCCTGAGTTCAAGCCCTAGGACTGGGAGAGAGAGAGAGACAGACAGACAGTCATGGGTGACTTATAGACATGCGAATAGACTTGGTAAGTAATGAGTTGCGCCATTAATACCATTGAAAAATAGAAGGGACAGGAAAAGGAAAAGACAACTTGGTTTTGTTCTGTTTTTTGTTTTGTTTCTTTTGTCAGTTGTGGGGCTTGAGCTCTGGGCCTGGGCGCTGTCCCTGAGCTCAAGTCTAGCGCTCTACCACTTTGAGCCACAGCTCCACTTCCAGTTTTCTGGTGGTTCATTGGAGATAAGAGTCTCACAGACTTTGCTGCCTGGGCTGGCTTTGAACCGAGATCCTCAGATCTCAGCCTCCTTAGCTAGGATTACGGGTGTGAGCTACCAGTGCCCATCTTTTTGTTCTGTTTTTTAAGCTCTCTGTAATATGAATGAAAAGTGGGACTATGGTAAGGGGAAAACAGTGGGAAAGGAAATTGGGAAAAGAAAAAATACTGAAGCAGGAGCAAAGCATATTACATATTATATGTATTTGGCCAAAGTACATTATACCTATCTATGGAAATATCACAGGATCATAGAAATATCTCATGTACAATAATGCACACTAATAAAAAAATCATAGCTGGGCATTGGTGGCTCCAATAAACAAAGCAGTAAGTCAGAAACAAAGACCATATTCCAGATTTTCCCTTTGTTAGGAGTTTAACTGATGTTTACCAAAACATACTCCAAGTTTCCTATTTACAAAAATACATCCTATTTACCAAAAACACATTTCACATATCCCAAGCTTCCTATTTACCAAAACACCTTTCACACCTCCCAAGTTTCCAACTTACCAAACCACCTTCCGGGTTTCTGGGCTTTTCCTGAATTCTGCAGTTATTTACCTCATTTCAGTAACCTGATGTTTAACTTACTATTTCATTCTTTACTTTGAGTCTACCTCAGAAATTTCCCTTTTAGGGGCTGGAAGGTGGCTCAGTGGTAGAGCTCTTGCCTTGCATGCCTGAGGCCCTGGGTTCACATAAGCAAAAAGAAAAAAGCCGGAAGTGGTGCTGTGGCTCAAGTGGCAGAGCGCTAGCCTTGAGCTGAAGAGCTAAGGGACAGCGCCTAGGCCCAGAGTTCAGCCCCCATGACCGACAAAAATGAATAATAATAACAAAGTACCAAGTCTTCTCAGTGCTTTCCAACAGCAGTGCTTGCACTGTGACTTCCAGATCCCTGAGGAAGGCTTGATGACTGTCACCCACCTCCGGAGGAAGGAACTAAGGCTAACTAGTTAAGTACTGTGCTCCAAGTACAGGCATTAAGAGAGACAAGGTCAGGACTTGCTTGATCCCGAGGGCATGGATGGGTACCACTTGGACCAAGGAATCCAAACCTCAGGCTTGCTGTTCCAGGTTTCCTAATCAAGGATTGAGTTTCCCATGTACCCACATTGTTGGGTGAACCTCTCTAATGCTCTACGATGCCCTTTTAGTCAGGACACCCTGCTACGGGATCCCCCCCCACCCCTACACCCCCAGGCACCCCATCCAACGCACACCTCCTCAGGCCAAACCAAAGCCACCCCTACAGCCAGGTCCCAGCCTGCCACCAGCAGCCCACCACACCAGGCCCAAGGGAGCTGGGTTGGGCCAGCCCTTGTGAGGATCTGTTGTTGCCCTGCACGGCCTTGGCGCCTTGGGGCGCCCGTCCCAGCTCTTCGGAGACAGGGTGATGCGCACAGGAGCGCGTTCCCGATGATGCTCACTGGCTCAGGTGCGCGCACACCCCTCCTCCGGCCGCGCGCTCTCGATGACGCCCTTGGCGCATGCGCCCCGCCCCCCTCCCACCCTCCGGGTCGGGCGCGCGCGCGACCCCGCACCACACACCCCCCCCCCCCCCCCCCCCGCCGGCCGCCTGCCTCGCCGCCGCCCGCCCCGGGCTCGCGCGCGCTCTCGAGGACGCCCACCCCTCCCCCGCCCCGGCTCGGGCGCGCGCAGCCCGCCTCCCGCTGGAGGTTTTCGCTTTCGCTTTCCCGCCGCGGTTGATGTGGAGAAAACACAACGGCCGTGCGCGGGAGCCGGCACAGCGGCGGGGCCGAGGGCTGAGGGGCGCCGAGCGCAGCGGCCGACCTAGAACCCGGGTCCCCCCGGCCAGGGCGGCCCGCGTCGCGCGAGGTAAGCGCAGCCCCAGGGCGGCCGCCTCTCGGGCTCCGCCTTGCGGACCCGGCGTTGGCCGGGACGCCAGGCGGCCTCTCGACGACGCGGGCTGGGCTGGGCAGGACGTCGGCGGCGGCGGCGGCGGGGTCCGGCGGGAAGCGCTGGGGCGGCCTGCACGGGGCGGGGGGCGGGGGGGGGGACTCGGGCCCGGGGCCGCTGGAGGGGGGGCGGGGGGGGGCTCGGGCCCGGGGCCGCTGGAGGTGGGGCGGGGGGGGGGGGCTCGGGGCCGGGGCCGCTGGAGGGGGGGCGGGGGGGGGGCTCGGGCCCGGGGCCGCTGGAGGTGGGGCGGGGGGGGGGGGGCTCGGGCCCGGGGCCGCTGGAGGGGGGGCGGGGGGGGGGGCTCGGGCCCGGGGCCGCTGGAGGGGGGGCGGGGGGGGGGGCCTCGGGCCCGGGGCCGCTGGAGGTGGGGGGGTCGGGTGCGGGGGGGGGCGTCAGGCCGCCGGGGCACGCAGGGAGGGGGGGGGATGGGTTTGTGGCCCACCAGTCTCCTGGGTTTCGGTAAATAAATACATAAACAACAACACCACCACCACAGAAATCAAAATGGGAGGATGCGCGGCTCACGCTGATCATGTTGTCTACTCAGGAAGCTGACCCCGCAGGTTCAAAGCCAGCCCAGGCAGATAAAGCCTCCAGACGCTCAGGTCGAATGAGGAGAGTTTCAAGAAAAGCTGGAGATGGAGGCGTGGCTCCAGTGGACACACACACACACACACACACACACACACACACACACACACACACACACACACACACACACACACACACACACACACACACACACACACACACACACACACACACACACACACACACACACACACACACACACACACCCCTTTCCCTAATGAAGATCAACCCTGCCCCATTCACATATGCGTATTGATCTCGCTGTATTTTTGTCGCTCTTACTGTGAATTTATAATAGACCTGATCTTTTGTGCTGCTTCCAATTTCATACACTTTAATTCTTTGTTTTTCTTTCTTTTTTTTTTGTCAGTCCTGGGGCCTGAACTCTGGGCCTGGGTGCTGTCCCTCAGCTCTTCAGCTCAAGGCTAGCACTCAACCACTTGAGCCACAGCGCCACTTCCAGGTTTTTTCTGCTTATGTGGTGCTGAGGAATCGAACTCAGGGCCTCAGGCATGCAAGGCGAGCACTCTACCACTGAGCCACCTTCCCAGCCCTAAACATTTTCTTTTGGTTTTCAATCTGCGTGGCTATTCAACAGAAAGTCCTCTGGACATGGGGACTTGGAGTTGGGTTGGAATCATCAATGGATCTATGAGGAATTAAAACCTTTCAGTAGCCAAGAATCTCGTTTCTTGGGTTCTTTTGGTTTATTCATACTTTTGTTGTTGTTGCCTTCTGTTTTGTTGTTTTTAAGTTGTACTAGGGGTTTGAACTCAGGGGCTCATATGCTTGCGAGGCATTGCTGCTGACTGGAGTCATGCTTCTATTCCCTTTTTTTGCCTTTAATTTACAAATAGAGTTTCACCTTTCTACTCAGGACTTGCCTCAGACCATGAATCTCCCATCTACAACCAAGTAGTTGGAATGATAGCCACATACCACCTCTGCCTAGCTTATTGGTTAAGATGGAAATCTCCCTTTTTACCTAGTCTGCCCTTGAACCACAGTCCTTCAAATTCCATAGCTGAGATTACAGGTGTGTGTCACTGAACCAAGTGCTTCCTTTCTTTTTGTGTACTTTCATAAAGTTTTAAATTAAAAAAAAAACTTCTATAAAGTTTTAAGGCTCTTATGTACTATTTATTAAGATAATACTTAGATCCAGTGATGTTGCTATAGGAAATGTTATTTTGTTTTATTATTGTCTGTATACTTTCCTTTTTTTTCTTCTTTTTTTAGTTGGGTGACTAGTATGTGGAAAAATCTATCAGTTGTTTTTGGGTTGATCTAGCTTCTAGAGATCTTTCTGGACCCCTTCATTCTAATAGTTTTTCTTGGATTCTGTTGAGGTTCCTATGTAAATAATTTTGACAGTTGCAAATATTAACAATTTTGTCCTCTAATATGTGTTTTCCTTTTAAAATATCTCCTCATTGTGATTTCTGCTACTACCATTCTAGTACATAGTCGTGGTGACAGCAAATACCTTGTCTTGTTCCATTTCTTTCTTTCTTTTTTTTTGTCAGTCATGGGGCTTGAACTCTGGGCCTGGATGCTGTCCCTCAGCTCTTAAGCACAAGGCTAGTGCTCTAACACTTGAGCCACAGCACCGCTTCTGGTTTTCTGGTGGTTTATTGGAGATGAGAGTTTCCTGCATGGGCTGGCTTTGAACCATGATCCTCAGATCTCAGCCTCCTGAGAGCTAGGATTACAGGTGTGAGCCACTGGGGCCTGGCTTTTTTTTTTTTAATTTATCTTAAAATTGTCTTTAGTTGTGCAAAGAGATTTCAATTCAACATGTCAATTTCTTTTTTTTTGTTGGTTGTGGGGCTGAACTCTGGGCCTTGGCGCTGACCCTCAGCTCTTCAGCACAATGCTACCACTCTACGCTTGAGCCACAGTGCCACTTCCGACTTTTTCTGCTTATATGGTGCTGAGGAATTGAACCCAGCGCCTCATGCATGCAAAGCAAGCATTCTACCACTGAGTTACCTTCCCAGCCCCTCAACATGGCAATTTCTGAGTACAATGTCTTGTTGCATTTCTTAAAAGAGAATAGCTGTTGTTCTATTATTAAATAGGATTAAGTTAGCTGTGGGTTTGTAGACAACAACCTTTAGCAAGTAAAACAAGTTGCTATCCAGCTGGGTGCTGGTGGCTCACGCTTGTAAGCCTAGCTACTCAGGAGGCTAAGATCTGAGGATCACAGCTTGAAGCCAGCCTGTGCAGGAAATCTTATTTCTTATTTCCAATTAACCACTCAAAAACGGGAAGCGTCTGGGCTGGGAAGGTGGCCCAGTGGTAGAGTGCTTGCCTCGAATGTATGAGGCCCTAGGTTCAATTCCTCAGCACCACATAAGCAGAAAAAGCCAGAAGTGGCGCTGTGGCTCCAGTGGCAGAGTGGTAGCCTTGACCTGAAGACCTGAGGGACAGCGCCCAGGCCCAGAGTTCAGGCCCCACGACCGACAAAATAAATAAAAAATAAAAAACAAAAACAGAAAGTGTGGCTCAAAGTGATAGAGTGCCAGCCTTCACCACAAAGAGCTCAGGGACAGTGACCAGGCCCTGGGTTCAAGCCCCATGACAGACATAAAAAAAAGGCTGGAAGTAGAGATGTTGTTCAAGTGCTAGCCTTGAACAACAAAGCTCAGAGACAGTGGTACCTGAGTTCAAGCCCCAGGACTGGCACCAAAAAAAAAAGAAAGAAAGAAAAAAAGTTCCTGTCTTTTCTTGGGACTTGAGATCCAAGGAGATGAAAAAAAAAATCCCAAGTGCTACTTTCAAATAAAAAATTTAGTAAAATATATATAGTGGCTAAAGCAGATAATAATCATGCTACAAAACAGGGAAGGAAGGATGGGTTGGATTCTGCTTTTCTAAGAGTTTTGGTTTTGCTTTGGGGTTTTAATCATGAGTCAGTATGCAACTCTCAAATGTTCATTCAGTACTGGCTCGATGTTCATGTGATCTTTCCTCCTGCCAACTTATAGTAACCTAGAGTTAGGAAGTGTTTCCTAAGGTTTCTATTTTCAGCAACTCATTTAAGACACAAATGACCTGTCCCTTGGAAGTTAGAAGAATGCACTTGTAAAACCTCCTTGGCCTGAGCCTTTATGAGGAAGAGAGCTTAAAATTATTTTAATTCCTGAAATCAGGCATGATGGTGCTCCTTGTAATCCCAGCATGTGGGAGACAGAGGCTGGAAAATACTGAGTTCAAGCCAGCCTAGGTTACGTAGTGAACTCTGCCTTAATTTTTTTTTTTAAATTTCTTTAATGATTGTTCAGATTTTTTTTTTTTTTTTTTTTTTGGGGGGGGTCCGGTCATGGAGTCTGAACTCTGGGCCTGGACACTGTCCCTCAGCAATTCAGCTCAAGGCTAACACTCTACCACTTGAGCCACAGCACCACTTCCGGCTTTTTTTTTCTTTTTGCTTATGTGGTGCTGAGGAATCGAACCCAGGGCCTCATGCATGCAAGGCAAGCACTCTACCACTGAGCCACCTTCCCAGCTCCTGTTCAGATTTTTCTTGCAAGTTTTAGAAAACTTTCTTAATATGTATCCTTCTGTATTTTAAAATGTATTATCTCCTAGCTATCTGTATTATTATATTGTTATTAATTATTTTGTGCCATATTGGGACTTGAACTAGAGTTTGGGAGTTCTCCCTCAGCTTTTGAGCTCAGGGTTAATGTTCTGTCACTGGCCCACTTCCACCTTTTTGGTGGTTACTTGGAGATCAGAGTCTCACATTTGTCTGTCCTGACGGTCTTTGAACTGTGATCCTTAGATCTCAGTCTCATAAATTTCTAGGATTATAGACATGTGCCTCCAGTGCCTGGCTGTTTTTTTTTTTTTTTTTTATTTAAATGTTGTATTTAGAATTTTCTCCTTTTAAAAAAAATCTGCCATTTATTCCTTATCAGTCTCCTTAGAGTTTTTATCTATTTTAAAGTAAATCTTTGTTTTGTTTTTGTTTTTTTAGCCACCCTTATTTTTTTAGCCACCCTTTATTTCATTAATTTTTTTGCTTTCAATACTTAGTGTTCATTTCTTTGTTTCTTTGGTTACATGCATTTTGTTGGAGAAGCAAATAGTATAGACATTTGTAAAGTGGCTGAAAATCTCACTTCAGCCTCCTGAAAACCAGCTTTCCATAATTATATATCATACTAGCATGCTTTTCTGGACCCTTTCCTATCTCTTGCAAACATTTACTACAGCATTCCAAACTTTGCAAGTCATTAACCTCTAGTTGTGGTATTTGCACATGTACACATCTACTAAAGTGAAATACTATAATTTCAATTGAATGAAATACAAATATTTTCTACTCATAGGAATTAGGTTGAAAGTCTTGTGTGTGTGTATGTGTATGTACACGTGTGTGTGTGTGTGTGTGTGTGCGTGCTGGTATTGGACTTGAATGCAGAGCCTTGTCTTACAGCCTGGCTTTTTCACTAGTGGCTGCCACTCTACCACTTGAGCCACACTTCCAGTTGGATTGTTTTTTTTCTGGTTAGTTAGAGATAAGAGTCTCTCAGACTTTTTCTTTTTTTTTTTTTTTAGTTGGGTCCGGTCGTGGGGCCTGAACTCTGGGCCTGGGCGCTGTCCCTCAGCTCTTCAGCTCAAGGCTAGCGCTCTACCACTTGAGCCAAAGTGCCACCTCGGCTTTTTTTCTTTTTTCTTATGTGGTGCTGAGGAATCAAACCCAGGGCCTCAAGCATGCAAGGCAAGCGCTCTACCGCTGAGCCACCTTCCCAGCCCTCTCTCAGACTTTTCTGCTCCAGCTGGTTTTATCAAACAATAATTTTCGTTTCTCAGCCTTCTGAATAGCTAGGATCACAGGTGTGAAAGTCTTGATCTTTTAGTAGTTGAATTTAATTCTTCATTTTTTCAGCACTAGGAATTAAACTCAGCACTTACGTTTGCCAGACAGGAGCTATACCAGTGAGCCACACTCCCAGGCCATTTTGTATTTAGTCTGGTCACTAGTATATATGGTTTTTTGTCTTTTTTTTTTTTTTTTGGTCAGTCTTGGGGCTTGAACTCTGGGCCTGGGCACTGTCCCTCAGCTGTTCAGCTCAAGGAGAGTGCTCTACCACTTGAGCCACAGTGCCACTTCCAGTTTTCTAGTGGTTTTATTGGGGATTAGAGTGTCACGAACTTTTCTGCCCAGGTTGGCTTTGAACTTCGATCCTCAGACCTCAGCCTCCTGAGTAGGTAGGATTGCAGGCGTGAGCCACTGGCGCCCGACTGTCCTTTTGTTTTGTCATATATTTATGATAAATTCTTTACCCTTTCCCCCCTTTAACTCTGGATTCATCAAGATGGGTTTGTTTCCCTTCCCCTCATCTCCTCTTATTCCTCCATGTCTTTAAAAAAGTTTTATTGTTATTATAAAAGTAATATACAAATGGATTAAAGTTTCATAGTCAGGTAATGGTATTGTTATTGTAAAAGTAGTATACAAAAGGGTTACAGTTTCATAAATAGGATAGTGAGTACATTTCTTTTCAGATAGTGTCACCCCTTCCTTTGCTCTCTCCTCTGATTTTGAGATTATATTTCTTTACCAATATTATAGGCATGTACCACCATACCTGGCTTTCCTTCCTTCCTTTTTATTTAGATAGCTGGAAGATTTTAGAAGGGGCCGCCATTTAGTTTTTAAACATTAATGTATTTTCCTATAAATGGGAACATAATCTATTCCCTCGTTTCAAACAAAACAAACCTTTTTACAGCCGGGAACTGGTTGTCCTAGCTGCTCAGGAGGCTGAGATCTGAGGATCATGGTTCAAAGCCAGCCCAGGCAGGAAAAGTCCGAGAGACTCTTATCTCCAATAAACCACTCAGAAAACTGGAAGTGGCGCTGTGGTTCAAGTGATAGAGCGCTAGCCTTGAGCTGAAGAGTACAGGGACAGTGCCCAGGCCCAGAGTTCAAGTCCCACAACTGACCAAAAAAAAAAAGAAACCTTTTCATATATTTTTACTTCTCTTCTTCCCCATCTTTCCCCAACAGGCACATACACAGGATTTACCCAAAAACTAAAAATAATAATAATAATCTGGAAGCTGCACACCAGTGGCTCACACCTGTAATCGTAGCTACTCAGGAGGCTAAGATATGAGGATGGCAGTTTAAAGCCAGCCTGGGCAGAAAAGTCTGTGACTCTTATCTCTAATAAATTATCAAAAAGCTGGAAATTGAGCTGTGGCTAAGGGACAGCCCCAATACTGGTACACACACACACACACACGCATGCGCTCGCGCGCGCGCACACACGCAAAGTCTTTGTGTATACATATGCAAAAACACACATATTCTGGGTGCTTTCAGTTGTTATTCTAAACCCTACTGGGGAGCAAACCCAGGATGTTGCACTTGCTAGTCAAGCGCTTTGCCACTGAGCTATATTCCAGCCCCATTTTTCTATTTTGTAATCTTAACAATTTCACTACTCTGTCATATATTTGAGCAATTGAATATAACAAAGAAACCGACGCTGAAAGTTTGTAGTGGATCCTGTCTTCTGAGCCATGCTTCTCTGGTGCTTATTTCTCAAAAGCATACTTGGAAATCCATCCTTGGTTGACCTTTGCTGGCACAAAGATACTGAACTATTTGCAAGTGCTGCAGTCACTTCCTCATGTTATACCGAGTTTACTTTAGCTTTGCTTAAGCCAAGCACAGTATCAGTTTGTGTAAACTTCGGTCATTACCTTAACAACTGAAGTTTCACATAATAGCCCTGCCTGTATAAGCAGAGAAACTGGCTTAGAGGAGTAGCCTTTGACATATGAAGGTAGCCTTTGACATTTTAGCTGCTAACAAGCTTAAAAGTTCTCACTACTGGTTTTGGTTTTTTGGGTTTTTTTTTTTTTTTGGTACTGGTCTTGGGGCTTGAACTCAGGATCTGTGTGCTGTCTCTGAGCCTTTTTCACTCAAAGCTGGTACTCTACCACTTGAGCCACAGCTCCACTTCTGGCTTTTTGCTGATTAATTGAAGATAAGAATCGCACAGACTTTTCCTGCCTCTGGCTTGAAAGTGTGATCCTCAGATCTCAGCCTCCTAAGTAGCTAGGATTCCAGGCATGAGCCACCATTTTTTTATTCCAAACTGGGTAGGACCATGTCTAATGGATGCCCATGTGGTCAGTTGAGTACTTGAAAATAAATGAACGTACCTGTATTTATCACCTTCTCTTGTCACCTCTCTCCATTAAAGTGGGAGCTCCCTGGGAGCAGGACTTTTGCCTACTTTTGCTCAGTTCTGTTCCCCAAGGCTGCATCCAGTCTATTAAAAGCACCCTATAAATATTGGGGGGAATAAATGATCTACCAGATGCTAAGAATCTCCTACAGTTTTCATTTGTGGTCCCTCTTTGAAATCAGGTATATCAAGTTTTTCATTTATTCTACCTGATCAAACAGGACCTTCTTAAAAACATTCACGTATTGTGAGAACTCTATAAAAGTAAATAAGGTAGAGTAGTATCTTGACAGCAAACCCCTTTGTGAGTTTGCTGCTATTAAGAGATCCACAGGGCCGAGAAGGTGGCTCAGTGGTAGAGCGCTTGCCTTACATGCTTGAAGCCCTGGGTTTGATGCCTCAGCACCACATAAACAGAAAAAAGCCGGAAGTGGCGCTGTGGCTCAAGTGGTAGAGCACTAGCCTTGAGCTGAAGAGCTGAGGGACAGCGCCCAGGCCCAGAGTTCAAGCCCCACGACTGACCAAAAGAAAAAAAAAAAGTGAAATCCTCAGTTCCTGGTAGTTTATAGTTTTTGCTGGCTGCCTGGGGTGTTAGGTAGCTGGACAGGCTTTGGAACTATGGAACATACCTAGATCCTACTCGGGGGGGGGACACGAGTCTTTGGCTGCCTGAAGGTGGGCTGGAGCTTCAGCTGGGTGGTTTGGGCCCTCACTTATGTTTTCTTCTGTTTTGCCTGCAGATGGCAGCACGCCCTGGGCCTCCCTGTGCTGTCCTGAGGCTGGACAACAGAGAAACAAGAAAATGGACTCCTTTCTCCTGCAGACCTGCTTGATTGCCAGCCAAGAAGTGAGTGTGAGCTTCACTAGAGTTTTTCTCTTCTTTATTCTACAGTATTTGTTGTACATTGTGGTTTTTTGTTTTGGTTGCTTGTTTTGTTTTTGTTTTATTATAGGAGTTGATGTAAATCATATGTGTTCAATTATGAGGTTGTTTGTTGATAATCAGTTTGCGTGCCTAAACTGAAAATCAGAGTAGTAGTTCCAGGCTTATTCCCAGCATCCTCTGTGTTGTAAGGGGCAGCATCCCTTCTCATCGGCACTTCTGGCCTTTTAGAGAAAAGTGACACACCCTGAGTAGTGGGCTGGAAGTGTGAGGTGTATGGTGCTCTGTGCTGAGACCCTGTGGGCCTTCATCCAGTTGTTCACAGGATGGGCTGTCCTATCTGTATAATTGCCAGAAGGCCAGCCTGGCCATCACATCCCAGGCTTCTAAGTTTCTTATTTCGGAATAATGATCTTTATGCCAAGAGCTAGTACACTTCTGATTGCTGTTCTACTTAAAAGGATCTAGCACAGACCTCCCCTCCATTTCAGTGTCTTCTTAGTTGGGTGATGACCCTCATTTAGCTGCAGTCCTATAGGCCCCCACTTAGCAAGCTGTCATCTTCCTTCAGTGAGTCCCTCTTTCCAGGGGACTTGATCTCTTGTCTCTCACTCACATCAGCCAAGCCAGCTTTTCCCACACTGTGTTTCAGACTCACTATATGGAATCACGGAAATTCTCAACTGGAATGTTAGATCATTATTTCACCCAACAGAAGGTGATATTCATTCTTTTTTTTTTTTTGTCCAAGACTGGACTTGAACTCACTATCTGACACTTGCTTTCACTCATTGGCTGGTGATTTGAGCCATGCCTCCAACTCATTTTTTTTTTTTTAGCTTTTTTGGTGTGTTTATTTTTTTAATATTTTTATTGTTGTTTTAGAGGTGATATACAGCAGGGTTACCTTTACATCTATTGGGTGATATGTACATTGTTTTCCTTCTGCATAGTATCAGCTGTTCCCTTATTCTGGCTCATTCTCTTCCTCCCATCACTGCCCTTGAGTTGCTTAGTTCACTTTCATCAATATCCAGTGTAGCTGATGGGCCCCTGTGCCCTACTTTTTCACCCACTTTCCACTTATTTTCCACCCTCCTTCAGATGTACATGTGTATATGCCATGTATGAGGTAAAGAATACAGAGTCAACTAAAAAATGATAAGACAAATTAAGAAGAGGTCCTTTGTTTCTTTATCTTTGGAGTTCTTTTCAGTCTGTACCTTATTTTATATACATATGAAGAGGTGCTTGGGTATTATAGTTTGGTGCTTTTCTCCTAAGACTGTCCTCTTTTGGTCTCCTTGTGTTTGGGTATCTTGAGTCATGCTTATTTTTTCATATCTTGTTGCATTTTAAATCCAACATCCGCATATCAAGGAGAACATGCACTGTTTGTCTCTCTGATCTTGTTCTAGTTCCTTCTATTTCCCTACAGCCATTATTTTATGCTTTCTGATGGCTGTGTAAAATTCCATTGTATATAGGTACCACATTTGTTGGATCCATTCATCTGTAGTGGGGCATCTTTAAATTCATTTTTGTGCTAGTACCAGGACTCCAACTGAAGGCCTCATGCTGTTGTTTAATTGTTTGTTATGTCTGGTATTTTACCACTTGGACTATAACTGTATTCTACAGTTTGCTAATTAGAGATGGAATATCATAGAATTTTCAGTCCTTCAGTTCTCAGCCTCCTGAATAGCACCCAGCATAAGGTGGTAGTTTTGTTGTGTTTTTCTTTTAAATAATTTTTTATTAAATGATGACATAAATGTCACAAATTCCACAGTGGGATAGTGATACTTAGTTAAAGTCACAAACACAGTTTTAATCTTCACAAGGCAAATTGTCATTATCATGATCTATGTTTGTGAATTCTATGAGCTTTGACAATACAACTATTTCTTCACATCGGGTGATATGTACATTTCTTTAGAAGGGGGTAGTTTTGAAAATCAAGTTTGGCTTTATTTTTTGTCTCAAATAACTAGTATTTAAAATATTTCAGTGCTGGCTGGGTGCCAGTAGCTCATGCCTGTAATCCTAGCTACTCAGGAGGCTGAGATGTGAAGATCATGGTTCAAAGCCAGCCTGACAGGAACATCCATGAGACTCTTTTATCTCCAATTAACCACCAGAAAACTGGAAGTGGTGCTGTGGCTCCAGTGGTAGAGCGCTCTCCTTGAGCTGAAGAGTTCAGGGACAGCACCCAGGCCCAGAGTTCAAATCCCATGAACAAAACAAAACTTCAGGGCAGCAAGTAGACTGCTTGCCTATCAAGTGGTAGGCCCTTGAGTTCAGACTTCCAGTACAAAAAAAAAAAGTATTTCATTTAAAAATCGAGTTCCTTTTTCTATAGCTCTGAATTGTTCATTTGTTTCTTTTGCTTGTGGCAATGGATTTATGCCCAAGCACAGTAAGTAACCTGGTAAAGAACTAATACTGAGGCTAGGGATGTGGCTCAGTGAAAGCGAGCATGTGCAGGGCCCTGGGTTCCATTCCACAGCAGTATACATCATAACAAGGATGAATCAATCACATTTGTTCTTACACTGACCTGAAAACAAAGGAAAGTAAAATTAATGCGAAACACAATTACAACCTCTGAACTTTTTAAAAAAATCAGTTTTACTGAAATAAAAATTAGATATTGTACAATTCACTGATCGAAAATGTATAACTCAGTAGTTTTTAGTGTCTTCACAGAGTTGCACAACTGTCACTAGAGCCAGTTTTAGAATGTTGTCATTCTCTCAGAATTTCCATACTCCTAAATTATCACCTCTCCCATCTTTCTAGCCCTAGGCAACTACAAATCTACTTTCTATCTCTTCATATTTGCCTATTCTAGATATCATATAGCTAGAATCATCCAACACGTACTCTTTTGTGGCTGACTCAACTCACCACCAGGTTTTTGTTCATGTTGTAGCATGTATCAATATGACATTCTTTTTATGATCAAGTAATAGTCCATGTGAATATTTTTTTTTAATCACTCACTGTTTGGTGGACGTTTCCATTGTTTCTATGTCTTGTCTATTATAAATAATGGTGTTTTCAACATTTTCATGTATAAGCTTTTGTGTAGACTAGGATTATGTCTACTAGCCCTCTTAGGAAAATCTGATTTTTAAAAATCTAGGAGAGGGAGAGAACTAGGTTAAAGTTGTTTGGATAATTTATTCACACATATGTTGAATTACATCCAAAAAATCAACTAATATATTGTAATTATAATAAAATATATAGCCAGTGACTCACTCCTATAATCGAGCTACTCAGGAAACTGAGATCTGAAGATCGCAGTTCGAAGCCAGTCAGGGCAGAAAAGTCCCCATGAGACTCAGCCCCAGTTAACCACTCAAAAACTGGAAGTAAAACTATGGCTCAGTGGTAGAGCTCTAGCCTTGAGCAAAAGAGCTCAGGGACAACTGCCCAGGCCCTAAGTTCAAGCCCTACAACTGACAATAATTAAATATAAATAAAGTAGATCTAATTCTTCTCCATACTAGTTGAGTTTTTCTGGAGTTCTGTCCTTGAATTAAAAAAAAAATAAGTACGGGCTGGGAAGGTAGCTCAGTGGTAGAGTGCTTGCCTTGCATGCATGAGGCCCTGGGTTCGATTCCTTAGCACCACATAAGCAAAAAAGAAAAAACTGGAAGCGGCGCTGTGGCTCAAGTGGTAGAGCGCTAGCCTTGAGCTGAAGAGCTGAGGGACAACGTCCAGGCCCAGAGTTCAGGCCCCACAACCGGACCAAAAAAAAAAAAGTAAAAGTGTGTAGCCATGTGTCAGTGGCTTGTGTTTATAATCTCAGCCACTCAGGAGACAGAGACCTGAAGATTGTTCTTTGAAGACTTTTATCTTCAACTAACCAGGAAAAAGTCAGAAGTGGTTCATGCATAAAATCCTAACTACTCAGGAGGCTAAGCATGGTTCAGAGCCAGCCTGGTCAGAAAAGTCCATGAGACGGTTATCTCCAACAAACTACTCAGAAGATGCCAGAAGTGGTACTCAAGTGGTAGAATGTGAGCCTTGAGCAGGGACAGTGCCCAGGCCCTGAGTTCAAGCCCCAGGACTTGCCAAAAAAAAAAAAAACAAAACTCCAAAAAACCCTAAACAACAGTAGAAGTATGTCTCAAATGTTAAAGCACCAGCCCTGAGTGAAAAAGCCTAGAGACAACACCCAGGCCTTGAGTTTGAGCACTAGTATGGGCACACACACACATAAATCCCAAATAAACAAAAAAATGATATCAAAGTGTGGGTCTCAAGGTCTCCCTTGGGGAAAAAAATGTGGAATTGGTTGGGCTGGGAAGTTGTACATTCCAAGTATATTTAATAACAGGTAGATAAATGGGTGAAGTAGAGGCCTGGACCAGAGAGAAGAATGAGGCAGGAGAAGCAGGAGTAGGGGGGATTTCAGGATGCCATCTGTTGCTTGCTGGTTCAGCTTCTCCCAGTGCCCACCTACACAGCCTAGGAACCCTGGCCAATGACCATCATGTGACTGTTGCTAGCTGTCTGGTTGATATGGTTCATAGCTGTTACCTCCAGGTCCAGATTCACTCTGCTTGTGACTGCAAAGCTCTAGCGTTGGATTGCTGCTTTTTAGCAAAAGCAGGTTGTCTTAGAAATGTGTTAAAGGACAAGTCAGTACCTCCCAAGAGACTTACAGTCCTAAAAACATTTCCGGGCTTTTTTTTTTTTTTTTTTAAAGTACCAGTTAACAGTTTTCAGTTTAACTGTGTTTTCCTTCCTGAAGTCTTTAAGTGAGACTAACTTGGGTGATTTTTTTTTTAAATAATGCATTGTTTTTGAAGAGCTCCACTACTGGTCAAGTCTGGGTTGGGAATAGAAATGATTTTTTTTCCCTGCCACATAGACTAAGCATGTAGAAATAGGAATGGCTTGTTTCCAATATGATTTCTATGTCTTTCTTTTTCTTTCCTTTGAAAATA